AAAGAGAGTCATGGTTCAATGCATATACTTTCCAAAAAACGCAAAAAACATGAATAATCCCTATACTACGTGGGTTAAAGTAGCAACCGTAGCGTACGCAGCGCAGTCTGTGGTTGTTTGATCTTGAGACTCATTTCAGGACATTATTAGAAGCGGAGTTTGGTCTCTTTATTCTAGTCTTCATGATATATACAGTGGCACGACTAGGGTTTAAATGTGGGGGGGCTGTAGCCCCCACCTGACATTACATGAAAAGTAACCCGTTGGGGGCGATGCCAACCTCATATAATATGTTCACTTAAAAAAAAATCAAAAACATAGTAGAAACAAAATCAATTATTATTTATTTATTTACTCATGTATTTAATTATACCTTATTTTTTAATATTTATATTACAATTTTCAAACATTAACAATAATATGTTTTGCTTAAGGGGCCTCGCTACTGTCTTTATTTAAGGGGCAACTTTTAGGCAATTTCTAATCTTGTCATTGCCGACCGGGATCTATTTGTTAGTTGTAAATGATTATTAGTGTGAGTGAAATGACATGCAGGTATCCTCACTCGTACGCGCATGCACATGTCAATAACTCGATGACCAAATCAATTTCACTACACGAATTTTACAAAAACATACATTTGTTTTGACAATATTAAAGTTAGTTAAAGTTGTCTGATTTTGATTCTGAAAAAATATTTGAATTCAGCAGAAAAATGTCTGTAGATCGTACGAAACATTTTCAGTTTTTAATATTAATTTTAGTTTTAACGATGATTCGAAAAAGTTGATATTTTTAAGTTTAAAAATGCCATGTGGTTGTCAGTAATATTGTAGTCGGGGGTTATTTTTCCTAGGGTCGGGGATTTTTATTCCGCTATTACCTATCTCTTTCAGTGCATAGGTATACTGTAAAATTATGTGTAATAATCTTACCAAATACAAAACAATTTATATCATATCGACATAAATTGTTTCCTTAAAACGAATACAAGCATACAGCTTATGATATTTAGGTACCATATATTATATCATAGGCAATATAAAAAAAAAAATAAGAAATACAGTTTAATTTTTAAAGATTTGTTAATATTTTAGGAAAGAATCGAATAATTTATTTTGAGGGGGTATTACAAGTTTTGGGGGGACTAAGCCCCCCAGTCCCCCCTAGTTGCGCTTATGGATATATATATATATATATATTAATAATTATATAAACCGAAACCGAATGAAATTAATGTAATTTGTATTTTTTGCACATACGTAAGCTTGGTAATTATGTATTTATGTAAGTACCAATATTATAGCGTTGCCGTTCAAATTTATTAAATGCAAACTGTTTACACTTTACAAGCTGAATATCAAAGTCAAAAGAGGACGTCACACCCGTCATCATGTATTTTATTCGACGTACAAACGTATAACATAGAAAATGTGTATTCAGCAGAACTGATTTTGTGTTGTTAGCATTCCATTGACCTACTTAATGACAAGGTACACTCGGATCTGGAAACCTACCTACTACACAGTCAAGTATACTAAAGTGACTTCCCGATTTTTACAATATTATTAGTAATATCAAATAATAATCAAATAGGTATTAACTTATATACACTCTATTACGCTAATCAATAATCATTAATCACTATTGACATATTGTGTCTACTATTGTGTTTTTTTTTATTTTTTTTTTTCGTGTTGTCATCACCTTTTAGGACAGTGAAAGTGTTTGGATGTTCTTCAACAATATCTTTTCTGATAGGAAAGTGAATCTAGTTGGTACTTTGGGTCAAAAGTAAAATTTTTCTAGTAGTTTTTAAAAGCGCCGTGAAAAAACAAAAGAAAAATTAAGGAAAAACGCGAATTTTTACACAAAATCTATTTTCGAAAAAATCGGTTTTGGTTTTTGGTGTAGCTCTGAAACAAATGAATGTATATACATGAAATTTTCACTGGTTGTTTATATTTGCATTTTCTATACACTATAAAATTTTCAAAATATTATTATTTGTTTTGAACTGCTTAGGAACATTTTAATTTTCCATTTTTTTTTAGTTTTTTTTCTACAAAAAATTTTATTTGTTGGTTAAAAAAGCTTGAAAATTTAATAGAAGGCTCCTAGTATATTGTTTCAATGGCAGATCAAGCCAAAATCCTTGGTCGCAGTTTTTTTTTTTAAGCATTTGAAGTTCAAAAATTGACAAAATATGGAAAAATCACGAAAATTAGCAAATTATTTTGAGTTAAGAATTCGTAAAAAATTTTCTTTTTAAATCTAAGATATGAAAATGTAATACAAAATTCCTTATAAGATTATCTACCTCTGTCAAAAAAAAAATGTCTATAAGAAAGTCAAATTACATTTTTATGAGCGTTTGAAATTCAAATTTTTACAACAATGGATATTCACTCGATTTCTCATATAGCGATTTCCTTATTTTGTTGTAATTCAAAAACTAATAACTGTAGATACATGAAAATTTCACTGAATGTTTATATTAGCAGTTGCTATACACCATATAATTTTGAAAATATTTTGACCCTTTTTGAGCTGTTTACGGACATTTACAGTTTTCAATTTTTTTAGTTTTTTTTCTATAAATATCAATAATAAAGTTTTATCTCTTGGGCCAAAAAGTGTAAAAATTTAATACAAGGCTCCTGATATACTGTTACAATATCAGTTGAAAAATATTAAAAATACATAGGCACAATTTTTTTTATAAGCATTTAAAGATCGAATTTTGACAAAATTTATCAAATTTAAAATTGAACAATTATTTTGTAGTTAAAAATTTATATAATGTTCAACTTTCATATCTAAGGATTGAAAATTTAAAATAAAATTCCACGTAAGTAGTTAATTCTGTTATCTAAAAGATACAGAAGCACAGTTTATTTTTATAGTCATTTTAAGTTCAAATTTGGACGAAATTACATAAAAAAACCTAGAATAACTATTTTATTTATTTTGTAGCGATTATATAATATTCGTGGGTACTTGAAACTTCTAAAGTGCACTATTATATATAGATGATAGTATCAGGGTTTGTTGTTGATGTATAACGCGTTATAAGTACCTAATGGATATTGTGATATGATTAATTTGGAATTTATTATAGGTACAATACAATTTTTTTTAATACTATAGATAAGTATATAATATGTCTTATACCTAGACTGACATACCGTCTCCACTCAGAATCGTTTTTCTTATACAATGATAATATTATAATATTATATCATTGAATTCAAATTTAAAATCATCCATTATACAGTGACCCACTTGTAACCTACTATACAGCAGATCACCTTTTTTTGTTTATTTATAGGTTTGCCATTATTAGGTAGGTACACAAGTACATTTCATATTACTATTATAATTAGTAGATATTATATGGTACTTATATAGATTTTTTCAAATATGTTTATAAAAAAACAACAAATCTTTAGCACAACCAATTGTGGACGGGACAGCTATAATATAGTAATAATAGAAATTAATATTTTTTTTTTATTTATAAATTGTTGCAACTGGTTACATAAAATATGATTGTTATTAGGTACAATTGGATAATTTTATAGAATTTTGATATTTGACATTTGGACACTGTATTTTTTAATCCCGTGGTAATCTATACCTATATAATATAACCTTTTTTTTTTTTTTTTTTTTTTTGTTAAATCGCGGCGCTACAGGGGGGCACTTCATCCTAGGATAGTCCTTCCCCCTGCATCCGCATCGTTTATTTATATAAACCATTTACAAACATACCATTTACAAACATACCATTTACAAACATAATGAAACTTAAATCTAAGGCGTTGCCTTTACAATGATAGAGGGCTCTACCCCTCTTACTTCCACCTTCGGTGCATATATTATACGACTTAACTACCTTACTCCTGCAGCTCTAGCTATTTTTTGAACCTGCCTCTCCAATATAGGCCTCTCTGAACCTATATAATATAACCTATAACAGTATAATGTGTCCTGACTGACTCACTGCCTGATAAATGTAGAGCCTAAACAACAATAGCAAGAGACTTAAAATTGTCACAGTATCTCTGGACCACCATGTAAGATGTAGATACGTAAGTGAGCAGTGTGCACTACTTCAATAAGAAAGGATTTTTGCATTTTAAAGAAATGCTCGCACAAGAATTTTACAAAACAATAAATACAATAATATGTATAATACAAATGGTTATGGGTTATGCAATTAAAAATCTCCGAAAGGTTTTGACGATTCAAGGAAGGTTTGGATAATATATTAAATCACTTATTTTAGGTTGCCATAACAGCTATTCAAATTATCATCGCATATTTGTTTATTTCAACTAGCAATTGGTTACACGTATGAAAAAAAGTTACTCATTATTTATTAATAATTACATTCACAAATTTAAAATTAAATCTTTTCTATTTATTTTTAAGTTTCAAACACAATTATGCACAGAATATTAAATAACAATTATAACAAATTTTGAATCATACGTATAAGAGATATGAGTTGGCCTTTTCTTTTTGGGCAACAAAATGCATGGGGTCATCTAGTATTATAAAATATTAATTTAACTATTGATTTAAGTTGTAAAAATTAGATTTTCATTACTTTTTAAAAAAAAAAATAAGTAATTTGCTTAATAAATTTCTTGATGTACCAAACACTTCTTTACAATTTTTTGTAACTCTCAAAGAAATGAATAAGAAAATTGAAAACATTTCTTATTGAGGGTACAAATTTAAAATTTAGATTTAATTTCCAATTGTTAGAAAGGGATAATTACTTTAGGATGTCTCTTTTAAACAAAACAATTGCACAGAAATAGAACAGACTTTCCTTAAATCAATAAAATGTACATAATATATTTTTAATATAAGAATAATTAATTAAGTATAAATGTAACATTTGTAATAAATAATGATATGTATTTAAAAATTTTACTTTTTTACAATTTTAAGATTAGCAATATATATTTTTTTTTGTATCTATGGTCCTACTCAGTTTCTAATAATTCATCTAGTGTCTTTATAATTCTAAACTTTGAACTTTTCTCAGGATCCAGAGGTGCGTTGCCAGGTCTTACCAAAAGAATTGATTTACAACCGGCCTTTACAGCTGCTTCTGCTTCAACTAGTACATCAGTTAAGAATAAAATATCACTACAGTTTACATTTATCTCATTAGCAATATTTGTATAACTAGTTTCTGAGCCTTTTGGACCCATTTTAGTGTCAAAATATTTTAGAAATATACCAGACACATCTCCGTACATGGAATATTGAAATAAGTACTCTTGAGCTTTTGTACTCCCAGAAGAGTAAGTGTATATCTTTTTACCAAAGTCAGTTAGCTTATTTAAAACCGGTAATACATCTTCATATAAATGACCTCTTAGAAGACCACTTTCATATCCATCTTTCCATATGTGACCTTGTAATTGCTTTAGAGCAGTAGTTTTCTTATCGTTGGTCATCTGCCACAATACATTATTGATGACCGATTTCTTTGCATTGTCGCCTGTAGATATTGGTACAAAGCCTTCAACATTAGAATCAATAACTGCTTGTGCGCGTAATAATTCTAAATCTTGTTGAAAACTCTCATCGTCCCAGTATTTTTCTATGTAATCCTCTAAGACTTTAGTGACATACGGAAATAATGTATCTTTAACAAAGCTAATTGATGTAATTGTGCCTTCAATGTCAAGAAGAATTACATTCTCGTTTACCGGCATTTTATATCACAGAATTCCTATTATAAAAACCTGCAAAAATAGAAATACAAGTATTCAGTATTTTATAAATACATTTATATAAATTGTATGTTGTTAGGTTTTATTACACGATAATAAGCATAGTAGGCAATTGTAAAACTTATAAAAAAGTTAGTTTAATAGAAAAAAATAAATATCTAATTTATAATGTTAAAATCGAATGGTTTATTTAACAAATTACTGAAAATTATAAATAAAATGTATTATATCTTAAGTAAACTTCTATGGAGTACAATTTTAAAACTTTTACTTTACTTTATTGGTCTGTCTAGAAAATATAAATGTCATTGTTATGATATAGTGTTAATCAAATACCTAATGAAAATGTATACAAGTGTTTGATCTTCTAAATTTGCAATAAAGAAAAAAATACTTTATTTCAATCTTTCATTAGGTATGTACTTGGGGTATATAGCTAATCATTTCTGATGATGATAATATGATAATAAAACATTTTATGTAATAAAGACTTCATTATGTAATAAAGTTTTTATAACATTTTTATGGGAAATGTCAACCAAATTCTTTAAATAACAAATATATACCTACATTATTTCATGTATTTATGTTAAACATATTATTTTTTTCAATGATGATAACCAATTATTTTTAATTTTGGATACAATTTTCAATTGTATAGCACATACCTACTAAAAAGATATAATAGGTATATCATAGGCTGAACACAACTTATATTAATCGACACCCTTTTTTGAGACGCAACTTTAACATCCAAAAATATATGTGAAGAATGTAATATTCCCTCTAAAAATATTAGGTACACTAAAAAGGTAAATTATGCAATGCTGTCATAGATTAGTTGTTTCTATTCTTATATTCTACTTATATATACCCTCATATATATTATTACTCTATGATATATACCTACAAAAATGTTTGTGGCTTAGGTAGGTACCTATAATACGGCAATATTATTATTTGCTATAATTTTGTGTGAAGAACATTTTTATGTAGTACTTATGTAGTTCAAGTTTATATGATGTAATAATTACATAAATCAGTTTGCCTAGCTGCCTTTTGAAAAATAAACAAAATAATGTATTCATATTTTACCTTTATTTTATAGACTTTTATTATAGTCTATAGAGGTTCCTCGAAGATGTCTGAAACAGTTTTATAAAATAACTAGAGATAACATTCGAATACGGACTAATAAGTAACAACTAATAGAAGAAAAAAAGTAGGTAATTAATAATTATTATTAATATTAAAACATTCAAAAATTCTTATTTTGCATGGCGCATGTAGCCGGTCTTATCGTTATCTTGTAAGACACATACTTATCAGAAGATAAGACATAATATGTACCTTGATAAAAAAAAAAATGACCTTGCCACTCAAGGTTTATAGATAATATATAGATAATATTATCTATAAACCTTGCTTGCCACTGTCGTTTACACCTTTGATAGAGCTGAAGTCTAAAGTATATACCCATAGACTAGAGAGCCTTATATATTATATTTATTATCTATATCAAGGCTCTCTACCATAGACTATAGTCTAGAAGCATAATATAACCATACCATGGCTAACGCCTAAAATGGTAAATGCCTAGATATAATTCATAGTATTAAACTATATTAAACAAAATACTAATATAATTGTATGACAGTAAAATATAATAATAATTAATGTTTTTTATTTACCCACGCTTATACCTAACGTTTTGTCCTGTGCCTATGTCTATTGTCTATAGTCTATACCTAACTATTTAACTATTACAATAACACAATATTACAATATAGGCTAATAGGCTATATAGCCATGTAAGTAGTACTACTTCAATGACAGTGTAGGTACCTATGTACGGCTATGTAATATAACCAAGGGCCTATCTAGAAATTTCATCAGGGGAGGGCGACCAATATTAGGTATTTTTAAACAATTTTTACCACAATTTAAAACTTCGTTAAACATTAATATACTTGTTAGCTATGGACGGCCCTTGCCAACCTTGGCTACGCCCTTGTGTATTACAGGCTACAATTTATCAATGATTAAAATTTGTAGCAGGACGCCACCATGTGTTGTACCTATCCGTCTAGGTCTAATGTCAATAGGTAGGTATCTAACTTACACACAAGTGCACAATATAATAAATTTGTATTCTGCAGTGCAGTTCCAATTTTGTGTAGGTATTAATCTTAATAATAGAGTGAAATAGTGAATATTGTCGTTTTTTATATTATAAAACTATTTATTAAAACTTAAGAGAATGTCAATAATAATAATTGTCGGGCCAATATTTGTTTTCACGCTTTGACCCACGCACAGCATAGATAAAACCAGAGCCGTGTTAAGGGGGGGCAAAGGGGGCAATTGCCCCCGGGCGCCATAGTTTTGTAAAAGTAAGGGGCGTCGTCATAGGCGTGCGCACGGGTAGGGCTGATTGGGCTTTAGCCCTACCTGAGCTTTTTTATACGTGGGTGGGTTGGTACCTTATGAAGACATGACTAAAAGTAGGTATATAGCCTTTTTAGATTTTAAACGTTTGTGTTTACCCGAGAGACTAAACAGGGCGATTTATTTAAAATTAAACACTCATTATTTCAAAAAGTGTGATTGTTTTTTAAAATATTTTTTTACATAGTTTTGAGTCGCTTACAAAACAACTTTGTTATTAAAAAATTATATTTTAAAATATTTTTTATTCTTCTAATTTTTTTGACAACATAGAGTTTGAATTTCATATGCCAAAGTAGAATATTTTTCTAAGTATTTCGATACATAAAAATCTAATTTAGTGCGAGTAGTCTATGCGTTATAAGTATTTAAAGTTTAGATGAGCCGAGTTGAGTGGTACGGGGTTACCCCGCAAAATGTATGTCCACTACTCAGCTCAACTAAATTTTAATATTTATATCTCTAAAGTTGATTTAAAATGAATAATGTTAATTGACAATTTTTAATATTATATATTATATATCGAACGTTTTTGAATAAATTGTTTTATTGGATTATATTTGATTAAAATTTAAATCAATATGGATGAATTTTGTATGTTTGAAATAATGAAAATTGATAGCTTACATTTTCCAGTAACCAACCAAAGGGTCACTTAAAAGTTTGTAGTCAAATGTGAAAATGTCTAATTTTTTTCTTGTGTGACCATGACAAGGGGGTGGGTGATCAGATTTAATTTAGCCTTACCTGACCCAGAGGTCTGAGCGCGCCTATGGGCGTCGTTATTTGAGCTTAATATGCTACTTGGAGCCCAAATTGTAGGGAAAGGGCTCGAATTGCCCCGGGGCGCTGAATTGCTTGACACGGCTCTGGATAAAACACTTATAAAATCGTTTTTTTATGATTTTTGAGTAATGATGAAGTAAAACACCTATTGCAAAAATTATGGAGGATAATATTTTTGAGGGTTTGACATACTGGTTTTATACTTTTATACTATATTCTACTTTCAAAATAAAAATAACAATTTGTAAATTTATTTAAATGATATTTAAAATTTGATTTGATTGTTTTGGTACAATATTTAGACAGACCGATATGTCATCCGACATTGCATTATACCCTCAAAAATATTATTCTCTTTCAATGTCATGGGTTATTTTACTCTAAGGATAAGTTCCTACTCAAAAACATTAAAAAAAAATGATTCGTTTTATGATTCTGTCTATGCATTGAGCGTGGGCCAGAGAGAGAAAATTAACAGTGCGCTGACAATCTGACATCCTCTTAAATAACAACTAAATTGGTAGGTATTGCTTTGTACACAAAATTGAAACTTCTAAACACAAATTGGATATGTTGTAGGTACTAGGTACCTACACGCGGTTACACGTTTGTAATACAGAGCATAGGCGCAAATAGAGTTTGGTATTTTGGGGGCCGGCTAAAGCCTTACTTTGAATGTTGATAATATTGAATAAGCTTAAAATAAAATGTAGGACATTTTTGGGGGGCTATGGACATTTTAGTGGCTAAGCCCCCTCCCTATTTGAGCCTACGATACAGATACAACACGTGCGGCGTCCTCTTAAATGTACCTATGTATAAACTATAAGTTATATATATTTTGTAATTATTATACTTATAATTATAACTTATAACCACTTGTTCGATAAAACAGTACACTTTTCAGCGAGGGCTCATCTATGGGGGTGGGGTCGAACGGGTTTAGCCCCCCCCCAAAAAAAAAAAAAACGGTTAGCCCCTAACATTTTGTTAATTTTATTAGGTTTTGACTTCAATTTAAAGTTTTCACTTATACCGAGTTAAAATAAATAAAATTATGATATAAAAAAAATATATAACGCTCTGTCACAGTATAGTATAGTTGTCGAGTATATCATTGGAATTTGGAATGGAAGTGATAGATTTGAATTCAATGATAAATCATTGCATACGTAAAACAACTCTGAGAGGAGACTGTGTAGTATCAAATTGACTAGTAAAAAAAAATTAATAAAAATCAAAAATATCTTTAAAAATAGGGTTGCATTCCTGTAACTTTTTTTTTCTTTTATAAGTAGAAAAAGTTATGAGTTATATTCTATTAAATTTTCAAATGTTAGCTATAAAAATAAAATTTTTCATGAATTTCTTACACAAAAACAATTCGCACATTTTCAGGATTTTGATAAATCTTGTCAAAATTTGAACTTAAATACTTATATAAAAAAAATTATGCCTATGTATCTTTAATATTTGTGAACTGCTATCAAAAAACTTATGAGAAACCAAATTATTAATTTTATAATTGTTGCTGATTTGGAAATATTGTAATTGATATTATTACATGTCATTAAAATTATATATAAAATATATTATATTAAATTATAAGCCAAGGTCGTGATCACCATTCACCAGTCGAAAATTAGAAATGAGGTTTTTATTACTCTTTATTACAGATCGACAACATTACAGACTAATCTATTGACACAGACATCAGAAAACGAATTGTTGAATAAAAATCTATCAAACAATACTTATTCCTTGCATCATCATTTTCTGTAACTAGGTACCTATATGTTTTAAATTAAAACTGATATAAGATCAACAATTTTTCTTTGTTTCCAGACATAGATCACTAATATAGTACCTAGTAATGCAGTAGAAATATCTAATACTGTGCTATTTTATTATTATTCTATGATTTCGTCATAGCACAGAGCGTCAATGCATACACCTGAGCAGCGCACTTTTGAAATACATTGCTTAAATTATTTAAGCTCCTTATAAACTTGTTGTTATCTTGTTTTTGAAAAAAAAAACAGTTAAGAGTTTAATACGAATATATTTTAGATATTTCTTAAAAACAGATAACGCAATTATAATATATATTTTAATATGTGAACAATTAATGATCTATACTCCGGCCCACGAGAGTTCATACGTAAACCGAGCATCGATATAGTAATACGCGACGTCTGTTTTCTCCCACCATGATGTAATTTCCGCTATTCGGCAACATGCAGATGCGCAGCGTCGGACGAGTTTTAACGGACGTTCTCTCGTGGGCCAGAGTATAATATGGTAGTATAATTTATAAATAATAATAATAATAATCTTGATAAATTAATATTAAATGGTTATTTGATAATTTAAAAATATTATACATTTATACAGATATTAAAAATAGATTTCAGGTACCTTAAATTTGAAGTTAAGTCGCATTTAAGTTAACTACATTTTTAATAAATTCACATTGTGTGTTCTATCTTATTCCTAAATCAAACAATATAGGTATAGGTAATGTACATTCTTCTTACACATTTCATCAGCCAGGAACAATTTTATAATATTTATTGAATATTTACAAAAAAAAAAATAATAATAAAGCAATATAAGAACATAATGTAGGTATTATTAACAAAATCTTAAACCATTTTTGTTCAAATGAGCTCCTATGAAAATAATTTTATTAATAATTATAAACAATAGTAACAATAGTATATTATGTTCGACACCCTCTATCTCAAAAATTCTTTTCCACCATTTAAGCAGATCTGTTATCATGATTTATGTAAATTATGAGTACAAATGTATCAAAATAAAAATATTATGTATAGAGGATAAAATAGAAAACTAAATAATTACTAACTAAATAGAATTATAAATATAAAATCAGAAATATGAAAAATTAAAGACTCATGAATCAGAACTGCTGAAATTCATGGCTCTTCTTTTTTTCACTTGTGGTACATAAAATTGACTACTACTTTCTACTACTTTTTCTATAAGAAAAGATTTTTTGCTAACATCGATTTCTACTTTTTTAGCACCATTAAAACTAGACATTGGTGTTGAATAATGATCTTTTATAGTTATCAACTGAACGTGTCTTCCATTCTTTGTTTCTTGTTTATCATCAGAAGTTGAACGCATTATTACTTTTCTTGCATTAGAATGTCTAAAAATGGACCCTTGTTCCACTTCAATATTGATAGACGGTATCACAGTTTTATTTGTGGGGCTTGTTTCAATAGATGTATTTTTGGACAAATTTTTACAAGAATTATTTAATTGTTCAGATTCTGCCACACTATTTTCACACTTAAAGGTATCTAAATTGAATGTCAATTGATTATTCCCTTGTTGAGATGGACTTAATGGTTCTCTATCATTATTTATAGACAACAATTTAACATTCTCAGTTGACTTGTTAAATTTGTTGTCGATTGAAGAAGTCATATATGTAACACATGAACGTTTTCTCACATTGCTCAGAGCAATACTATTATTATCTTTTTCTATTACTGTTTTTCTTCTTCTAGTAGGGAATTGTTCAACTTCAATGTTTATAGACGGCGCTTTATTTTGATTTATTTTTTCGCAAGTGGATAATTTTTGGTTACAACATATGTCTGTTGATAGTTGTTTATCATCCGTTTTTGAGCTATACTTATTTTTATGATCTTTAACACATGATTCCTGAGTGATTTTTTTAAATCTGTTTAAAGTATTATTATCATTTTCTAATACTTTTGTTTTTCTCATAAATGGAACTTGTTCAACTTCAATATTGACAGACGATGTTTGTTTTTTGTTGTCATAAGTACATAATTTTTGGTTATGAAGTGTATTCGTAGAAAGTTGTTTATCGCCTGTTTTTGAGTCATACTTATTTTTATGATCTTTAACACATGATTCTTGAGTGACTTTTTTAAATCTATTTAAAGCATTATTATCATTTTCTAATACTTTTTTTTTTCTTACAAATGGAACTTGTTCAACTTCAATATTGACAGACGATGTTTGTTTTTTGTTGTCATACGTACATAATTTTTGGTTATGAAGTGTATCCGTAGAAAGTTGTTTATCGTCCGTTTTTGAGTCATACTTATTTTTATAATCTTTAATACATGATGAGTGGGCAACTTTATCAGATTTGTTTAAATTATTATTATCCCTTTGTATTGCATTAGTTTTTCTTGTAATAGGAACTTGCTTAACTTCCATATTGTTGATAGATGATAAAACAGATTTATTAGCGGGACTTGTTTCAATAGATGTATTTTTGGAGGAACTTCTACAAGAATTATTTAAGTATTTAGATTCTGTTATATTATTTGTACACTTAAGAGTATCTAAATTGCATTTTGTTTGATTATTTTTTTGTTGAGATGGACTTAAATAATCTCTTTCATTATTCACAGACAAACATTTATCATTCTCTATTGACTTGTTAAATTCATTGTTGATTGAAGGACTCAAACAAGTAATAGGTGTCTGTGAACGTTTTTTCATATTAATTAATTCCAGAGTATTATTATCCTTTTCTATAACTTTTTTTTTTCTTTTAATAGAAAATTGCTCAAAATTATTATTTTCAGGAGAGAACAATTGTTGGTTATGAAGTATGTCTGTTGTAAAAGATTTATCCTCCGTTTTTATATCAAACTCTGGAAAATTATTTTTACTACATGTTATCAGAGTGTCTTTATTTAAAGATTTTATTTGTTTTTCTGGTGAATTAGTAATCTCACATTGTGTTGTTGAATCTAAACTGTTAATTTGGTTTATTTTGTTAGCACATTTGAAAGTTTTGTTAAGTGTATTTTGAACACCAATAGTAGCCGGACTTATGATTAGTTTTTTTTTTAATTTAGCTGGTTGTTTTATTTTTGAAAATAATGATTCTATGGAAACATTTTCTTTATCTTTCTCCTGATTGTCACTTTGAATAACTGGGGTAGTATCAAGTTCACAGTCACTTGGTGTTATATCCGATTCACAAATTACTAGCGTAGAATTAATAATATCTTTAGATTCATTATGAATAAGGGAAGTTGACATTTCTTTTAATGTATTTTCATCTTTATTAAGTTCTTCCTTTTTATCTTGTGTTATTTTATCAACGGTATTTGTATTTTCTATCTGCGGTGAAATCTGTTTTATGGAATTAATGGTATCATTTTTTTGAGCTAATTTTTGACACATTCTTTTATAATAAATTGTTTTAGGAATTTTAATATTAGGCTTGATGACAGTAGTGGTAATATCTTTAGATTCATTATGAATAAGGGAAGTTGACATTTCTTTTAATGTATTTTCATCTTTATTAAGTTCTTCCTTTTTATCTTGTGTTATTTTATCAACGGTATTTGTATTTTCTATCTGCGGTGAAATCTGTTTTATGGAATTAATGGTATCATTTTTTTGAGCTAATTTTTGACACATTCTTTTATAATAAATTGTTTTAGGAATTTTAATATTAGGCTTGATGACAGTAGTGGTAATATTATCAGTATTATTTGGGTTTAGTACTTTGGTTTTTTCTATAGTATTCTCAATTTGCTCTATATTTTTCTTGCTATCAGACGATTTATTGACTTCAGTTTTTTGTACTTGAAAATTAATAGTAGAAGAAAACATTTTTGATGTGGATGGTACAACTTGCCTAAAAGTTAGTAAAAAGATTATAATTAATAAACCATAATATGACTTCTTAGTAAAAATACAAAACTTTATTATTACGTACTTTTTTCGGAGGTCATCGATTATTTTATCTTTCCTTTGGATTTCAGTGCTAGCAGTTTTATATAGTGATGTAATATTTTTAGACAATACAGTATTAACTGTTTGGAAATTAGTATTTTCATTTTCCAATTTTTTAATACGTTGTTTCAGTTCTTGAACCAATGATCTCAGTTTTGTAACTGAATTCTTCAACTAAAAATAATATAATATAATATATTATATGAGAAAACATACATGTAGGTAGGTTGTAATATTATTATCTATGTAACTATATTATGGGCTGCATCGAGTTGGGACCTGAATTAAAAACTGCTATACTAGTTGGGTCCGGGTATATTTAAGGTACTTCACTAGTTGGGTCCCGGTTTTTTTAGATACTTCACTAGTTGGGTCCCTTTTTTTTTTTTTTGTCCTACAATAGTAAGGTGCCGAATTATTTAAGGTATTTCACTATAGTTGGATGCCTAATAGTTTTTAGTGAGTACTATATTATACTAACATTCTTCCTATTTTAATAGACTTAGAACTATCCATGACATATTTAGAGTGTAGAGTGTAGACCAAAGGCATGGTTGAAAATAATTTTAAGCCATTTTTTTTTTTGGTTTTTTGGCCATTAAAAATATAAACCATAAGAATTTTACGACTTATAATACGATTAAAATGTAGGTACAACACCAAAAAAATAAATATCAAACACTTAAAATATCAAAATACAGTGTACATCGCTTACAAGACTCACGGATATAAGGTTCAGTCGCTTAATAGACTCAAAGTCGTCTGAAACGTTCCAGACATATCCAAATACATGATAAAAAATAGTAGAAAATTAAAATTTTGAAATAAATTGGTTTTTAATAATTACATATTTTTGTAGATTATTACTGGTTTTGATTCATGCTTAATAATGTGTGTATATACAACACATTTTGTCGCATTTAACAGTTATCGTAATTACTGTATAAGTTATAAATACACTCCCGATTACTCGGCACAGGTATTACAAATTTTTTTCATAAATAATACGTAAATATATAATTTATTATTTCTTATTAATATTATATTATTATGCATGTAATATTTTGTATAATAATATAATTTTAATTTTTAATCATATTTTTTTCGTTTAGTCACTAATAAATAGTAAGTAATATATAATATGTATGTATTTAAGTAGATTAAAATAAAACAAAATATGTTGTAAAAAATTCATATTATTTGAAATTATTTGAAAAAGTGATGCTTAAACGAATTAGACCCATTCTCAAGTCCCACAAAATTATTCCAAATACCCAATTTGGTTTCAGAGAAAACCACTCCACAACCCACCAGATCCACCGAATTGTCGACAAAATAGCCTCGTCGTTCGAGCTCAAAAACTTCTGTCCGGGAGTATTCCTAGACGTATCACAAGCGTTCGACCGTGTCTGGCACACCGGATTACTCTTTAAGCTAAAAATGTTCCTCCCGACTCCACTCTACTTGTTGACTAAATCATACCTACAAAACCGCTCATTTCTCGTCCGCCAAGGTTCATCACAATTCTAAATCTTAGCAGGAGTACCTCAAGGAAGTGATTTATCACCAGACCTCTACAACATTTACACAGCTGACATTCCCAACTCCGAAAATACACTGATAACCACTTACGCCGACGACACGGCAATCCTCTCATCCCATTCCGATTCCACAACAGCATACCAAAACCTCCAAATTCATCTTGATAATATTTCAAAATGGTCCACCAAATGGAGAATAAAAATCAATTCAGACAAGTCCTTTCACATTCCTTTTACTTTGAGAAAAGCTGTTCTTCCTAATATCTATTTTCAAAACAATCCAATCCAAACCACAACTCAAACCAAATACTTAGGTTTAATTTTAGACAAGCGTCTAACTTGGGGCCCACACCTCAAAATCAAAAGAAAGATTCTTAACTCCAGACTTCATCTTTTACGGCCTATTCTCAAGTCCAAACTCTCTATTGATAACAAATTACTAATATACAAATCTATGTTAAAACCTATCTGGGCCTATGGCATCCAAATATGGGGATGTGCCAAGCCTTCCCAAATACGGACTATACAAGCCTTCCAGTCTATTTCCCTTCGCCTAATAACATCTGCGCCATGGTACGTCTCAAACCTCTCACTACATAAGGATCTTAAAATTGAAACAGTCTCTAAAACAGCCAAAAACTACTACAAAAATTTACACACCAAAACAGCTAACCACACAAATCCACTGATTTCCAACTTGGCCAGTGAATTCATGCCTAACAACCCTCCACGTAAATTTTTATTCTGTTTACTATAGATTAAGGGGTGTATATATTGTTTAAGAACAACAAATTAATAGAAAAAAATCTAGTCTGACCATTTTTTTAAATTCTGAGCGGAGCGATAAATGCAACATTTTTCATTGATGTGTGTTTATTTTTTGTCAGTGTAAACGATAAGTAGTTGAAAAAAATGTTTTGATATTCCACTTCAATAGCTTATCTGGTTGAAAAGTGAATTTAGTTGATGCACTTGAGAGGTCAAAATTGAAAACTCCCAATAGTTTTCAAGTGTCAGGAAAAACCAAAAAAAATTAAGAAAACCCTTCTAGAAAAATATAAAATGACGCCGCTATAGTAGACACCTACTATAATTATTTACCTCTATACGATTAGACTCTTTTTACCTTAGACACCTATAAAGTTATGTAAATTCCCATCTTACAAAATTACCTTGCGAGCGAAATGATCTGTTTTTTTGGGGGGTTCAGTTACATGGACTGGTCAAAACTTATACCCCCTCTTATTAAAGACTGAAATGACGCCTCAGTAAGACAGGATATGATAACAAATATTATGACTTTGAGTATATAATTTACTTTATAAACTATTAAGAAACTCATAAAAATTATCTACAAATATTTACCTAATGAGATGGTGAGATATGTTATTGGTTTATATCAGGGTGGTTAATGTTATTAAAAATATTATATAAAATACATACATTATCAATTGTCAGGTCGTACTCAAAATGAGGAAGATCATCATACAAAGATACTAAAGCCATTTTTCCATCAATATTGACTTCACAAATGCAGTTGAGTATTTTTTTTTCTTCCTTGTTATTTTTACATTGCATACTTGTACACAAATATCAAACTATTAACTAATAAACATATATGCGTAAAATAAAAATATATTGTCACTAAAATCAAATACAAATTAGGTAGGTACTCTGTAGTCCGTACGAGTCAATATTTTTAAAAATGAATTCAACTTGTGAACTGAAAAATATGCAATCATTAAAATTATTAAAATGTATGTACGTAGTATATTATTATAATAATTTACAAAATTTACAAATTCACTAATTCATCGAAATTATTTCAAATTTTCATTAACCTTAATGTAAGTTGTACAAGACTATAACGATATAACTGACAACAACAACAATAACAATAACAATTTTAAACAAGATAATAATGATAATACGCTATTCTGCACGGACTAAGATATACAGGACTGGACACGACAAGGTTGGAGGGTGTGGGGGGGTTGACTACGAAATGTTTTACAACAGGCAGTGTTCGGGGGGATATTTTCCTTTTAGCATTACTAGCGCCGTCCTAGTGGATACTTATGGAACTAGAACACATCATACAAATTTCTAGTTCCATAAGTATCCACTAAGACGGCGCTAGTAATGCTAAAAGGAAAATATCCCCCCGAACTCCGCCTGTTGTAAAACATTTCGTAACCACAATATTCATCTCGTGTCCAGTCCTGTATATCTTAGTCCGTGGTGATAACTATTAAATACAGAATAGCACGGACTAAGATATACAGGACTGGACACGAGATGAATATTGTGGTTACGAAATGTTTTACAACAGGCGGAGTTCGGGGGGATATTTTCCTTTTAGCATTACTAGCGCCGTCTTAGTGGATACTTATGGAACTAGAAATTTGTATGATGTGTTCTAGTTCCATAAGTATCCACTAGGACGGCGCTAGTAATGCTAAAAGGAAAATATCCCCCCGAACACTGCCTGTTGTAAAACATTTCGTAGTCAACCCCCCCACACCCTCCAACCTTGTCGTGTCCAGTCCTGTATATCTTAGTCCGTGGTTATCACGGACTTATCCGTGGTATTTATAGAGAATCGTACTAATGACGTCGTAGTATATAATATACTGAAGTAAGAAACGGAATAATAACTTATCATCGTTTTGGTTTTTGAGATTCTCAAATACGTTAATAATTGTAATTCCAATAGGTATCTAATTTTTTCTAACTCACTTTCAAGTTTCAATTTTAATAAATTGTGATTTTAATATAAGAAATAGAAATAATATTATGATCTATATATAGGTATAAATTGTATAATAGTTTATACTTATCTGTGGATAATGTACTGATATCGGGACAACCGAAAACATGCGGATTTTACTTTTTCGAATTTTTCGTCTTTTCTTTCATTTTTGACCGAGTGTATGACTAGTGAAAATAATTCATTATTATTTGTGTAAATACAATTTAATTCTTCGAAATTAGCCATACTTTTTTAAATGTTTAACCATTTATAATCCGCGCATTATATTATACAAAAATTATTTATTGATAAAGTGCCTAAAAATTGTATAAGGAATTTTAATCATGAGGTATGTACCCACTCAAAAAATCATTGTTGTATTGTTATACATTCATATAATTTATGTAATAGGACTCCACCAGTATACCAATCAAAAAAATCGTCCAAAAAAGATTTAGTGAAAGACGCCATTCAGTTAACGATTAGTGTTAATCGAATGAAGCAACATTTTATTTGGGGTACTGTAAATGCCCTAGTATTGTCTATGCTTACTTATGATTTGTAAGTTATTATTTTATACATTATAATGATAAAATTGCTCATTATTTTTGTGTTTTTAAAACGTAATATGTTATTCAGTCCAAAAAAGTGACAACGTAAATACTAATATTAATTTATTATTCTTAAAGATAATAATATATAGATGAAAACATTTTTTTTCTAGATTGGCCTTGCCATATTCTTGGTATACTCCGTGGTGGAGATTTGTTGAATCAGTGTCATCAATAGTTGTATTGTTCAGTCTTTTATATCATGTATTGTCCCTTACAAAATTATGGATAACCACTAATACCTTACACTTAGCACCGGAACACTTCCAGACACTTGGCTTATCCAACTGTATGCATATAACTGAGTTTACACTATACACTATTTAATACATATGTTCTTGTTTATTTTAGCTTATATAAAAGTAAAATCACCAGATACTTCATCAAGTGTATTAACGCCTCCTGCCACCACAAGTACACCAATTAACTGGATATCGAACAAATGGAACAACCAACAGTTTCACGTTTCCCCTGGTTAGTTATTATTTCAAGAACAAATAAATAATTTAATTTTGATGATTTGTTAATGATCCATATTAATATCTTTAATTTTATAAAAACGAATATTATCAAAAAATACATTTTAATAATAATATGTTGAATTTAAAATGAAAAATAATAACTATTTCTGACATTTTAAAATGCATATTGTCTTGTAAACATTGTAGTATAATTAAAATATACTTTTCACATTTGTGGCTCGTTACTATATTTGACCAACCCTCACATCAACCCTCCGCCTCCCAACCAAAGCAATTTCAAAATTGTTCTTAATAACAATTTATAGTCGTGTATCTATTATTAAATATTTTATATTTATTGAAACAGCATAAATTTGAAATTACTAATTTAAATTATTTAAATTTTTTAATGTTTATAGACAACTTTGGAACAGAGAAACAAAATAGAAGTGCAACTAATTATATGACTACTAAAAATGATGAAACTATAGAAGATATATCTGCCTTAGAACAATACCTCAAAGACTATGACAGCAAAAATAGCTTTTCTTTCACTGGTAATATTTTATATCTAACAATAATTAAACTTTTTTTAAATATAGAATTAAATTACAAATATTTCAAAATCATTACTTGGATATGTCCTGAAAATAATAAATATATTTATTAATTAAATTGTACCTCTAGAACGTGATCCTGAACAACGAAGCATGTCTTTGTGGGATCGTTCCGGTTGCTCAAACACATCTATTTCCTCGATGCTTCAAAATTCTATATACCAAGTAGCATCATCACGTAAGTTGGTAAAATACAGATTATTTTGAGGTTTAGTCATCAATTTTTTTTTTTATAATAGCTGAACAATCAAAATCTGAACTTAATGATAGTACTTCTACTGTAGCTATGGCTTCAGAAGTATGGCGTAAATTTAAAGTTGACAATAATAAAGTTGAAAGATGGTCAGTTAGTTTGAGAACTGTAAGTTGAATTTTTACTTAACATTCATTTTTGAAAATTCTTATTTTAAGTTTTTATCAAATATTTGATTTTTTTAGTGGATTTCACAAACAATTATTTCTCGGTTGGTGAAAGAAATCGAAAATGTTGATCAAGCTTTATATAACCAAGGATTTGTAGATGTATCAATAGGAAATGTTGGTTTAGAAAGACTAAAAAAAACTGCACATACAATACAGGTTGCTCAAACTATACCTAGTTTACTATATATTATTCCATATTTCGAAGTATCTCAAAATCAAGAATATGTAGTTCAACGTATAAGAGGTAAACAAATAAATAATAATGGTAATACTTTGTATTCCCTCAAAAAAAATTCAATTTTATCTTTTGTTAAACTTTTATTTGATCTGCCGAGATTAAATGTTATATGCAGACGACAAATGCCTAAGTGGCGTCCTCTTAAGAAGAGGTTAGCACACTATTTGTTTTCTCTGTCTGACAGTCTGACCCATGCGCAACATAGACAATTTTACTTTCACAATAATGATTCTAATCATGTTAATTAATAATTTCTAAAATTAGAGTGAAATGAGCTCTTATGAAATTTAAATATAAGATTATTATCTAGGGCATCTCATAGGCATATTATATTTTTATTTTAAAGCAAGAGTATTTTAAGATGCACAAACAGCTTACAATTTTAAAATACTCTTAACTCGCTTTAAAATTAAAATATAATACAACTCCTATGAGATGGCCTGGATAATAATCTTACATTTGAATTTTATAAGATGTCATTTCACTCAAATTTTAAAAATTAATAATTATAATAATTATTGTGAATGTAAAATGTGTTATGTTCCATGTGGGTCAAATTGAGAAGACAAATACTGCCCTGAAGAGGAGCGAAAAAATGTTAGTCTTGAACACCGATTTTAACAATTGACAAAATTTATGAAATGTATTTATCTATTAGCAAAAGCAGAATATCTCACTACTTATGGGGGGGATGATCACCCCAATCATCCCTCCGCTCAGGAACGCGCCTGCAACACATGCAGGTGTGGCGTCCTCTTAAGGTATATTATACAACTATTCTTCATCATGTGAATAAATTAAACAATTGGATATTTCCTAATGATTTTTTTGGGAGAAGAAAGATAACTTCCCATAAGTACCCACATAATGTAATAATAAATTGTAATATAGACTCTAGAGTATAATCTTTATTATTTAATTGTTGTTTTAGAATTGGCCAAAGGTTCTTGTTTAACCGAGTATCGATGGAATTCTGGTGGAACATTTAAAGGAAAAGAATGGAATAGTGAATTACCATCTGACGCAGTTGTAAGGACAATTTATTTTATAAAAATATGTGATTAAAATTGGTTAAGGTACTTTAGTACTATAAAACTATTTTATTTGTTTTTAGTTAGTAATGCATTTACTAGCTACATACCTAGATTCTCAGTTATCTCCATTAACACGTCTTAAGGGAAAAAACCCATTTTCTGTTCAACATCTGATAAAATATCCGGAAAAATTAAAATCCGATAACAAGCAAGTGGTAATTTTTCAACAATCAAATAATCCACCTCATTACAGTTTAAAAATTGGTAAAGAAACACACAACTTTCCAAAGGTAATGCATTTTATTAGCATAATATATTATGAATATTATACATTAGTTTGAGCTCAATAATTGATTTGATAACACAAGAGTTTTCAACAATGTTAAATATAAAAAGTAAAAAAATAGAAATTCAGAATTCTATACATTTTCATCATTGTTTCAGGGTCGTAATAATTTTTTCTATACCGTTTTATTGTTCCTGCATCACATCAAAACGACTGAAAATGGTTTGTTGGAGAGTGTCAACCTTGGAAAGACTGGTGTAAATATGCTCTGGATTATAGAATAAATTAAAGTGTATATTTAAGTGTTAATTTATTTTTTTTAAATGCTTGTAAGTTGTAATTTGTAACATACTTTTTTAAATACTTCTCATCAAAATGTTACTGTTCTTTTTATATCCCTTAGCCACGATAAACCTTTGTCCGTATCACCTTTAGGGTTATATTCTAAACCAATCCATTCACAGTAGTCAAGTTCTTCTAATAGTTGAAAAATATAATTATAATCTATTTCACCTGATGTATTTGGTTCGTTACGTGCAGGAACTTGAGCTAATTGAATATGCCCTACATGAGGTAACAAACTCTTAATGTTTTTTGTTAGGTCTCCTTTGATCTGTTGTAAATGGAATATATCTAACTGTAACTTCAAATTAGGGCTATTTATTTTGTTGAGAACATCAATTGCTCGTTCATATGTATTTAAATAATACCCTGGAGCAGAATATTTATTAATTGGCTCAATTAAACCCATAATTCCTTTAGTTTCAAAGATTTGTGCAGCATAAGTTAAATTTTTTTCATAAGCCTCATGATTGACTTTTGTTGGTTGAACAACTATGCCTGCCATCACATGAATCTTGGAACAGTTCAAAGCATTTGCATAAGATACAGCCAAGTCAATAGATGAACGAAAACTATCCTCCATACTTGGAATCGCTGCAAAACCTAGTTCATGGGCTTCGCCTCTAGGTGCGTTTATCAAGATTTGTTGTACATTGGCATTTGTTTTTGCTTGCACTACTTTTTCCAAAGTATCTGAGTATGGAAATGCGCATTCGACAGATGTAAATCCCGATTTAGCCGCCAAACTGTATCTCTCCAAAAGACAATTTGTTTCTTGGTACATGAATGATAAATTGGCACAGAATTTCAAATTCATATTGAATATTGTATAGAATAACACTTGTGTCTCAATTAATACTTTGTGGATGTCCAAACTCCAACTAAACTGATCTCACCTTTGAGCTTTGAGGTTGACTCCTTCAAAAACAAGAGTATTCAACTTAATCTATTCTTATCTTGAGAAATAAATGAATAATATTTAGAAGTTATTGCCAACTATATTGTGAGTATAGAGTCTATTGGCTTTCAGTATACTGAAACTGAAACTAATACTTACAAATTCGAAAGTCAAACTGTGACAAATAATGATCGATAATCAAATATAATTTATTATCCAAGTATTCGACTTTAATTCAAATTTCAAGGTACTGGCACTACTGGGTAGCCGTGAGGTCAGTCCCAGCCCCCAGGCGTATCCATAATATAAAAACAAGGTATGATCGTAACTTTCTGACGGTCAGATCCTTCGGTAAGCACGTGACGTAGCATAGTGTATAGTAGTAATAATTTAAAGACAATATGATAATACGGGTAGGCAATTGACGTACTGCGCGGACTTGGACCAAATCTGGACTTTTGCGATCATACCATGTTGCATGTTGCTTATACCATGGGCGTGTCTGTCATATTCGTAGATATATATATATTATATAATATATATCTATGGTCATATTATTCTGGTATCATCGTGAAAAATGTTGAAACCACAGACTTCTATAATACTACACTAGATAAGGAACTCTTATACAATTTACATTGTTACAAATGAAGCTCAGCTGTGAACGGCCGCCATTTTGTCGGTTGGCAAAACATTTCATTTATTATACAAAATGTATTAGGAATAATATTTTTTTTAACGGTCAAATAAAATAGTAAATGTAAAATGACTTTTATAAAATATTTTTTTTTTTTTGTAAACTAAATGTTTAAAAATAATAAAATACGATATAAAATAAATCATAATATCATCTTATTTGTCATATGAAATACCATACAATTGCCAACCGACCTTGAAGCTTCAATTCATGACCGGAGTTCGCTATCTAGTAATATATAGAAATCTGTGGTTGAAACATCTCATCACGGGATCAAAAGAACTTTCAAAGATAATCGTATTTATCGCCTGTACAACCTCTTTGCGTTTCATCACCCCTTTTTTTCTCCGCCCACAAAATATCACATAAAACAGTCCAAACTCCAAATACACAAACGGCAAACCGCAAACATAATAATACAACAACAACACATTAATCACAGAACACAGATTACAATAGGTAGGTGCTATATATATATGTATTAGCAGGCGGCAGTGAATACTGGAACTGGATAGGTTTATTTAATCTTTATTGTATGTTTTTATGCATCGCGTTCATCACTTCGGCAGTCAGTGGCTCAGTGCATAGAAAAGAGATTAAGAGTCAGTGTGCCCAAATGATCGTTACGGTTCTGTATTGAATTCCATTGTACCTCGTAATTGCCATTATTATTATTATTATAGTGTTTTTTTAATGAGACATGAATGTTTTTTTGTTGTTCTTATATTATTATGTCTATAGTAACTATTAACCGTCATTAGTTATCTAGCTCGGACGAATTAATTATCAAAATATACAATTAGTGTTGACCTTTGCACTCGCCGTCTTCGTTATGAACGCTGTAAAAAGGATTGTGTCAGTCGCGTATCTAATATTATTGGTCACGTTAGTTCAGAGTAAGTAGTTTTCGAACTATTATAATCTTCCGGCTTCCGCACGTCATGTATTATTATGTAGGTATCTAATAAAAATCTTTGCAACTGTTTTCAGGTGAAAACTGTACGGTAAAGAAGACGTATAATGGAACTATTACAAGAGAACGTCTAATGACTTGCCCATCGTCTGAATCCGACAAAGATGCAAAATTTTGTTGCTACGATAAGTTTGATAGCGTCGATTGCTGCAATGGTGCCGACCATCTACGTCATTTGTAAATAATTATTCTATAAAATATTTGTATCAAAGTATGGTTTCCAAGCTGTGACTGCTCTGCTATAGAATACCTAGCTTTATAATCTTAAGGCTATCGACTACTGGTCTGCAATCAGTATGTTGAGACTAGTCGCTGCTTGAAAACCGTACCATGACAACAGACATTCAACAAAAACTAAAATTTTATTATTATAAACATATTCATTTTTTATTTTTTAGAATTCTGAAATTCATGCCAGACCTGTTAATAGTTCTGTTGATAATTATTGGTCTGATATTGGCATGTTGTATTGTTTGTATCTGTATTCCATGTTATTGCATCATGAGCCGTCGTCGCCCGATATATAGTATGTATATTCATAAAATATCCTAGTTTAAGTAAGGTATAAGTGATGTAAGTAGAAGCCTACAGCATTATTAACAATACATTTTACACGAATGACATTTTTCAAAAAAATAACCAACTGACACACAACGAGACAATTGATAACACCTAGGTATAGGTATACCTAGGTGTTATCAATTATGTTACATGTAAATTATATTTACTTTATCCTCAAAAATATCAATTACATTTGTAAACATTGAAACAACAAGATATAGTTATTAAACTATTCAGTGGCGTAGCCAGGGGGGGTTTTGGGTGTTTAAACACCCCCCATTGACATTTTCCTCCCTAATAAAAATATTGTTTATAGGGTTTGGGACTCCTCGCATTATTTTAGATAAGTTATAAATTTGTCTTATGAAATTTTTTAAATGTCTAATCAAACAAAGTTTGAATTTGCATATTTTAGGGAAAGTGTACATTTGAGCGATTTTTCGCATATTTATGCATATTTTGCATTTTTCTAACTTAAATGTAGGTACATACAATTGTCGGGAAAAATCATATTAGGTAACATTGAAAAATATCTTTAAAAATATTATGTTTGGTGAGGTACAATAGGCTCTAATTTTGAGATTTGGGGAGGCTGAAGCCTAAAACTATACTATATTACTATTATAAAATTGAATTAAAAAAAAATAGTAAATGATTGGGAGGGCTGTTAAAGTTGTTGGTGGAGCTTGGCTATACGGTTTTTCCTATTTTCGCATAGGTATGGTATGTAAGATTTTATAAGTCTCTTTGTGACAAGACTGTGTTAAAACTATAATTGACATCTACATTCTAGATTGTATGAAGAAATGAAAATCAGTAGATATACGTGTTCGTTTATTACGGTGTTCGCATATCACGTTATTCTTTATTACATATTTATTAACCTTGTATTTTATTCCAGTATTTTTAAAAATCAAGTTGTTTTATTTCACAATAGTTTAAAAATGTCCAAAACATGCAATAGCGTACTCAGTCCATCACATTAATCAATATAGGTACCTATATAAAACCTATGTAACCTACCTATATTAAAATTAGTAAGCCCGTGTATAAATTATTTATATACCTACTTATTTTTTAGTTTTTTATTAAAAAAATTGTAGTATGTTTTATGAATTTTTCAAAAATAATATAAAAATGTAGCTGTATATATTTAAGAATATTTTGACAACTTTGACTGCATCATATTTCGATAATATTTAGTGCAACAAGTCAAGTCCCGAACCCTAAATTTATTTATATACGAAAACTGTAAAACTTGGTTTTAATCTATACTTAAACACCCCCCATTTCATAATCCTGGCTACGCCACTGAAACTATTTACTGAATAGCATTTATTTAGGAATTACTGTATAGGTTGAAATTCCATTTCATATTGTTTTGGTTGCTTATTAATGTATGATTCACTTGTGACTCATCTGCTGTAATTTGCAACCATTAATATTAAACATATAGCATTCCTATCTTCTCTAAACATACACTTTTATGCCAAATGAATGGAGAGAGAAACAATGGTTCTCACTTGCACAGAAACTTCTGACTTCTGAGAGATAAAACATTTAAACCAGAAAAAAAAGAGATGTTACCGTTAACACTGGTATCAATTGTATTGGCTTAAGTATTTATATACAATGCTGCATCCCTAAGTTTAATATCAATATTTGCAAGACAAAGGCACATTTTAAAATACCAATTTTAACTATAAAAGCTTAATCAAGTTACTAAACGTCATAAAAGAGCTATACAAACTGGATCTTGAAAGATTAAATTAATTCTTTTTATATTATTAAATTCCTAATAGTAATGTAATATTTAGTTATCCATTGACCTTGTATACTGTGGCATGTCTGATAAAATATTCTAATTTGTTGCTGGAATATATTCTCTAAGCTTATTTAAGACTTATATCGCAGAAAATAGAATTATTGTATAAGTTCAAATATGTTTTATAACCTCATTATTTGTTGATATCTATTATTGAACTGTTAATAATTTAATATCATAAAATCCTTATGATACCCTTAAAGATATAATAATTCTTAAATAATCCAATAATAATTAAGAAGACGCCACATCCACATGTGTTGTCTCTGTCTTAAAAATATATAACTTAGCAAAAACTGTTTTGTGCTGGATAGAACCAGTCAGGCTGTAGTGTTATCTAAGACTATAATTTCATATAAAATATAGTTGAGAACATTATCTCTGAGATATAATTTTTATTTTTTGATATTACTTATACAAAAAAGTTGAATGACTTTTTATAGTTCCGATATTGAAAAAATAAAATGAAGTTTTGCAGCCAAAGTTCTCCTTTTTATGTGGTCAAAATTTTGTTATTAGTTATGAGTAGTCTTCTTGGTTGTTTAACGCGCAAAACAGTTTTTGCTATATTTTACAACGGAAACAATACATCAGACATATGCATGGGGGTCCCCTTTAAATGAATAATTTACTTTAAGAAAATGTAGTATTTATAATCAATGATATTACAAATTGAATTTCTCTCATGTTTATGATTATGAGTTTAAAATTAGTTATGCAGTTTGTCCACTTTCATCAAGAAGTATTATACCTGTATACTCTGTCCTGTGAGAGAACGCAACGTGACCCGACAAAAATTGGTTAGTTTTGAGCAATACCCAGCATTGTTAGCACTGTCAACGGTTGCCGATCGACCGCTTTTAAGATAGTTTGGTTCCTTAGAAGGGGAAATGGGGCTTCAGCCTTCAGTAATGTGTTGAATGCAGAGTCGGCACATTCTCAGCCATACTGAACATAGTATATATAATCTAGTACCTAATATGATTTATATATGGCAATATGGCATGCAACACAGATTTATGCATTCTATGTTATGTTTATGCAACATTGTTATCAGTTTTAACTATGATAGTTTATTTAACGTTAAATTACAATTTTATGAATCAATGATATATATAAAATTACATGTATATTAACATAATATAGTCATAGAATTATTTTACATACATTATTTATTTATTTTATACTAAACAGGATATAAGTATATATTTGTAAAAAATATCACTGATAAATTATTTTCTAGAAAAATGTTTTAATCTACCATGTAAATATTTAATTAAATTTTATATTATTTTTATCTACTAAATGATAAAGAAATCAGTACCAATACTAGGATTATAATAAATTTACCAGCATATTGATTAGAACAATAGTTTGTCTTTGTCACTTGAAAAAAACTAAAAGATAAAATATTCATATTTATATTGTTTGCTTAATGGCTTAAAATATCTTTTATACTTTAGTAGTAAAATATGTATATCAGTATCACTATTTTTAAATGTTAGCTATTTTATTTATTTTAAATTTTACCAATTTTGTCAAAAACCGGTTTTACATAAAAATTGCCTTTCCTTAATTTTTTTTTTTGTTTTTCCCAACGCTTTTGAAAACTACTTGGAGTTTTTTACTTTTGAATCCCAAAGTACCAACTAGATTGACTTTCCTATCAGAAAAAATGCCATTGAATAAAATCTAAGCATTTTTACTATCCTCAAAGGTGATGAATCATCAATGATAACAGACACAATAAAAAAAACACCCTACACAGCATCGTAAAACCAATACACTCATCACTTCGCTTAGTATCTAAAATTAAGTAACACTAAAATAATAAATTTAAGGGGGAATATGCGATTGAGTTATTAACAAATTCCGTTGGATCGCGCTACTAGTATTCAGAATCACGCAATTCTCCTACTCTAGTTTTTAAGTACCATCGAACTTACGATACTATAGACGACGGCGCGGCGGCGACTAAGCGGCGGCCCCCACTCATCACGTTGCATGACATGATATTAATATCCATGCAGCGCGCAAACGCGCGCTGTAATAATAATTACCCACCTATTATACATTATAAATAGACTGTATGGAAATAATAATAAATATTAATAATAGTAATAATAGTAATAATAGTAATAGTTGATAATTCCATATACATTTATATATAATATATATATATATATATATATATATATATATATATATTTATATATAATTTGATTTTGATTTATAACAAACTATGATATTATAACCGCACATATTATAATATCGTTTCGTTATTGATAAAGAGTATCGTACAAAAAAACGTTTTTGTCTTTTGATAATTGCTTCTATTACCATTTAGAATTTACATTGGCATAATCAATATTTTGTCATTCTCATTCTACAGTGACCGTGTAGTGGGTGCGCAAATATTTTTATAGTTTTATAATATTCAATAAATCTAAAATCATGGCCAACAAAAAACACGGCAAACAATCGAAATGTTTAAAAAAAAGTGGAAGATCTAAGTATATAAAAAACTTGGTCTCAAGTAGATACAAAAAAAATAATAAAGTTATTGAACAAGATGATACCAATAACACTGAAGAGGATATCCAAATTCCAACAACAAGGTAACGAAGCAGCGGAAGAATAAAAAGTGATGAACGGTCTTGTAAAAAACATTTATATTTTTTGATTCAAATACAGTGTCGGGTTAAGATTGGAAGGTCGACGGGGGCACTGCCCCCCCCCGCGACACATTTTTAAGTCAGAAATTTAAATTTTTACGAAATCCCGAAAAATATAACGATTTACCATCAAACGATTTCAGATTTTATATAATTCAAAAAGTATAAGTCGTAGAAACTTGAAACTTTTACCAGTTATTTAAATTTACATTTTGTATACAATCTTTAATTTTCAAGTTATTTCGGTTTTTTTTTAAAAATATTTACAAAATTCTTTAAATGAGCATTTGACCCGACACTGTCGTAATACCTTCATATTCGAATAAATTTATATTACAATAAAATATAATTACAAATTTAATAGAAAAATTTCGTTTGTCCAAATTTAAAACTATTTTGAGGTTTGGCAGAAGTATATTTTATTGAATAATAAAAAAAATTTATCGGGAAATACGTATTTGAATA